AAACGATACCTTTCAAAAAATAAAGATTGATAAAACGGAGTTCTTGGGGTGAACATTAAAAGGTTAGAACAAAGAGTGAAAGAAGAAAGGATAAAGAGGAAAGAAGAAGAAGGATTAGGGAAAATTATTTACCATTCACTTTCTCATAAGGGTTTATAAATGATTACAAATGAATATCACAATTGGCCTTACTCAACAAACTGAGTGATCTAGCCTATATATAGGCTAACTAGTTAACTTACATAACAAGGTAATAAACAATTGGATCCTCAACACAAGGCCCAATTTGACAAACATTTCGACAATACATATTAGAACAGACTTCAACTACAATATGTATCATTCGAATATAACATGCGACCCATCTTCGACTTAATGCTTGCCTCTTGTCGAAATAAATGAGAGTTATCCATCGACAGAGCTAGAGTTTGATCCAGCATCTCACAAGTAATTTATCTATTTTTGTTCTAATGAATTGGAAATGCGGTGATTTTCCGTTGATAAGTTTGAATTTTCGTTGAGTATGGATTAATTTAATATTTGAAACATTTTATTGTTGTTTAAATAATTGTTTTTAAAATTTTTCGAGTCATGTCTTGGATGGAAAATCTGAGGCGTTACAATGTTATTCCTGAGCTTGTAGACACCAACATGAATAACCTTTTTACTATGATCTCATCTAAGGAGGAGATTAAGATGGTCTTTTTTAACCTCACAAATATAGAATTCCAGACCATGGTGGTTTTGGAGGTGTTTTCTTCCAAACCTATTGGGAAATCATCAAAAAAGATGTTTGTAATGCCATTCTCCAGTTCTTTAAGTCAGGTTGGATAACGCCCAACTACAACTCCAACACTATCATTATTATCCCAAATCAAATGATGTTGAGACAATTGATAACTCTAGGTATATAGCCCTTGCAAATTTTAAGTTCAAGATTATCATAAAATATTTAGCAGAAAGACTGCTAGTCCAATCTCATCTCAAGGGAACAAGGAGGTTTCATCAAGGGTAGGAACATTAGGGTCTGTATATGTCTATTTTATGAGGAAATCAACCACCAACACAAGAAAACTCATAGTGGTAGCTTGGTTATGAAAATAGATATCACAAAAGCCTTTGTTATCGCGCAAAAAAGAAATGGTCATCGCAACCAAATTCAGATTCGGGAGTCGGTTATGCGAGGGGAAGGTATTAGCACCCCTCACACTCGTTGTATTCAATGAGAACCATTTAGTTAGATTTACGAATAGAATGTTAGCTTACATTATTTGTTTGCTTTTGATTATTAAAAGTTGAAAAGGAAAAATAAAAGGTCGCAAAAGAGTTTTTATTAGGGTGCTTGACAAGATTGTGAGTCTTGCTCCTACGTATCCTCAAGCACGATGAGGAATTCAAAGCTACGTAGTTCTGAAAAAGACAAAGATGTTTTTGGATTTTTCATTATAATATTTGATGAAATATTGAATCTCGCTCCTACGTATCCCCCAGGTACGATATGGAACTTAAATCTACGTAGTTATTGGTAGAAAATGAGTGTTGGTTGGTTAATTTTAGTGAACGAATATTTAGATTGCAGTGTAGCGGTTAAACGTTGTTTGTATGCTCGCGGGGGAGGCTTAAACATTTGTTTGTATCGGATAGAACGAACTAAACATTGTTTGCTTGTGAAAAGGATTTTTGATGGCACGGAGGCAAGAAAGTACAAATTTGATTGGTTGAGTAAGTTTTTGAGTGAATGACAAATACTCAGATGTTCGAGCTATACGGTTCGTATCTAAATAACCAGGAAAAAGAGTGGTATACACCAAACAACTTATTATTCACCCAATTATTTTTGAAAAGGGCTATATGTGATTAATGTTTTTTTGAAGATGACAAGTGCTTGACAGGCAAGTTATACAATAGGTGTAAATTACTCAGGAAAAAGAGAAGCATGCGCCAAACTGTTCCTTTTTCATCTGTTTTTTATTTCGAAAAGATTTTGATGTGAAATGGATTTTGATTGTGAAAAAGGTTTGGTATGAATCGAGTTAGAATTTTAAGAGGACGAAAAATGCTCAAATGGTCTAGCTATATGACTCGTATCCAAACAATCAAGGAAAAAAGTGGTATACACCAAACCTTTCCTTTTTCATCTTATTTATGAAAGATGTTTGTAATGATTAAATATTTTTAATTTGATTTTAAAAATGCTTGATATGGATCAAGGTTTGATTTGCGTTTGAAACTGCTTTGATCAACAATGAAATGGTTGAAAAAATAATGAACGACTTGAGTAGAAATGCGAGGTTGCGAATTCAAGCGTGAGTGCGCAAACTCTAACGTGAAAGCACGAACTCTAATGCGAGGGTGTAACTTAACGCCACAAATCATGCAAATTACAATGCCGCATGCAAATCTGCAACAAAATGATAGAAAATAATAGCATATAATAATCACTAACAACATGTATTCATTACAAATGAATCGAAAAGTGAATGTGTGCATGTTAAATTAAACACAACGCAAGGACGCGAATTGAGTTCACTAACGCGAGGACATGCAATGCAAAGCTGCCAACACAAAATTTAATTTCGATTTAAACGCAATAAAGTTGAAATGTCGCGTGCCAACACAAATCAAACAAACAAACTCCTAGCTAAGCGTGATCGTCACAAATAAAATGAATTACAAACACATAACACAACAAATTGCATCATAACGAAAGCAACATCACGTGACAAAACACAAAGTAGTGAAAACAAATGCGAATTAACATTGTGTTGAACTACCAAAAGCGCGTACAAATCTAAGTTAAACGCGACGACAACAGAATTGAAATGTCATACGTAAATGAAATAAAAATAGCCAGTAAACTGCAAGTGCAAAATGCACTCATCGTAATCGAAACAAAATGCGCTTAATGCAATGCTAATAAACAACAAACAACAACACGTATACCGAATATTTACATTATTACATCAAAAAACAATTCAGCAAAGTCACGACATACAAATCACGTTGAACCCGCAGATCATTTCAATTTGATTTCAACACAACAAAATAAAAACAACACAACTCAAGAAAATTTTATTATCGACCGAGTCAAATTTCGATACTGCAAGAAACACATTTATGTTGAAGTTGATTTCACGTGGAGGATCACAGTGTTTGTGAAGAGAAAGGGTGATGGTGTTGTGTGTGTACGACATCTTCAGAGTTGGTGGTTGTTTTTTATTGGAGAAAAGCGTTGTGAAGCTGTTGATGGCGACACTGACAGAGAGGTTTGGTTTTGCTGGTGGTCTGACGAGGTGTTGTGAGGTTGAGGAAGTGCGTGTTGGTTTGAGGGAGTATGAAGAGTGACGAAAATGAGGTTGGAGTGGTGGTTGTAGTGAGGTCTGTCGGAGTTGGTGGTTGGCCATGTGGTTTAGATGGTGAATGGAAGCACGGAGGGAGAATGTCATTCATTGGTGTTTGAAGGTGGTTTCGATTGGATGTTTGGTGGTGACAAGGTGGAATGTTAGATGTTGGTGAAATGGTGGAAGAAAGCAAGGCAAAAGTGAGATTGTATGGTTGCAGCAAGAAAAAACCAAGGGAATGGGATAAGTGGTTTCACGAAGATGAGAGAGAGTGTGAAAATAAGTCGATGAACGAAATATGTTTTGGTAGCTTTTGAATAGAAGAAGAACACGAGATTGGTTGTGAGCAGAATGTTGTAGTGTTTGGTGGAAGCTATGTTCATGAAGGAGAAAAGGTTGAGAGATTGAACGTGATAGTGAAAATAAAGGTTGATTAAGGGGCCACGTTTTTTTTTACTGAAGAAGCTTTTTTTTTCTTTCTATTTTCTTTTCTATTCTTTGAAATTGAATCGAGAGAGATGTGAGGTTGAGATAATGAAGTGCAATGAATGGTGGTGCGGCTACCTCTTTTTATTGACCATCAATGTTAACTATATAGTAGTAACTTAAGGATTTTAATTTTAGTGTTATCCCAATAATGCCCTTAGATGATTTTAGATGATAAATGAAGCTCCAAAATGATGAAATAAAATTTACAAATATTTTTAATTAAAATAAATAAAATCAAACTGATTATTTATTTATCTCTATTTATTTATTTTTGGTTATTTTTAATTAAAAAATAAAATAAAAGAGATTAAAATAACTAAAAATCGAATGCACGAAGATGCGAATATAACAAATGAATGCATTAAAATAATCTACATGAAATATAATTTAGTAAAACAGACAATCATATATCAAATCATGCAGTTAAAAATACTCAGATAAAACTGATCAAAATGCGGACACGCACATATGCAAAACAATAAAATGAGCACACCAAATTAAACTACACTTCATATAAATCAATAAAACAAACCGCTGTAAACCCAAACTTGAAAATACTATTCATTTATTTTATGCGCTATTAAGAAATCGATTCGGAGATACATCTCCGTAAATTAAAAAATTTGAAAACATCATTTAGAGATACATCTCTGTAAATTAAAAAATTTAAAAATATCATTTAGATATACATCTCTAAAAATTAAAAAATCTAAAAATATCATTTAGAGATGCATCTCCATAAATTATACGGAGATAGTTTCATCATCATATTTTTTTTTTGGGCACAACCATAGTGCCAAACTCATGAACAAATGTGTTTGAATTTACTAACTTTTACAAATTTTAGAGGTATTTTTGATTTTTAAAAAAATTGAAATAGTACGTGATAAAATAAAATATTTTTAATAAAATAACTATATTCCATTCTGATCGCTTGACTCTATTATATTCCATGATTTCCATCAATCCAAACATTTCTTAAACAATTTCTTTTCTTTAATGCGAAAACAGTGTCCGTCATCGGTCAAGCCACCGTCTCCGTCTCTTTCACCCAACTGCTCTAATACGTTACACTGTAAACACTGCTCTCTTCACTAGAAAACATTCTCTTCCCTTTCGATATCGAAAACCGATGCGGCAGTGCCTCCGTTAGCCGACGATCCATTAGAAATGAGCGGAAGTGGAAGAACAGCAGCTCGGAGCAGAGTCAGATCCTCTTCTGAACCCGACGCCAATTCCCTCCGCGAAGGACGGCCAAAGTTTAACCGCCAGAGAGGCCGAAGCAAATACGGTAGCTCCATTCCGTTATTCAACAATGTCAGCCTCAAATTGGTTCTCGCAATCAGCTTCTTCGCATTCTTCATCATCTTGTTTTTCATCCGGCATCTCGTCAATTCCGTTGCAGAACCTCGTTTGCCTCGTGCCGTCACGCCATTTCCCGCGCCAAAGATCATGGACCTTCCTCAGGTTAACTTCAAATTTAACTCAATCCTTTTCATCACTCTTAATCTTTCCTTTTACTTAGTGAAATTTGATTGTGGTGTTATTGTAGTTTCAAGGTGAGCACAAGGAGAGCTTGTATTGGGGGACCTATCGTCCCCATCTCTATCTTGGAATTCGTGCCAGGTAACATTTTACACTATGCATGTAGTGTGTAGGTTTGGTTCAACACTTCCACTTTTGGAGGAGCAAAACTGACTCTAAAATTGATTTCACATGTTTGGATGTTCTCAAACTTAATTGATTTATTTGGATGTTCTAAGAAAACCACAACGCTTCTTCACTGTTTTATTTTGTTTGCACTGAAATGGAAGTTGAGACTATTTTGGTGATTTTGCATTAGTATTTGGTTTCACGGTTGGAGCACTAGCACTTAGAATTGATTCTGGATGTGTAGAATTGATTTTGACATGTTTGGTTGATTTTGAGTAGAATTGATTATGCTTTTTATAATTGATTTCTACTTGAAGTTAGGATTTGTAGCTTTTGAGTCTAAACATGATTTTTACACTGAAATTTACTACTGTTCAACTCACTTTTGCAAGAATTTATCAAAACTTAAATCACTTTTCCTTTAACTCACTTTTACCCATAATCAATTCAATCAATTTTTTTCAACTCACTTTTGCTAGTTGTATAAAATTTGACTTTCCTGCTAATCCTGCATTCAACAGAAATTGGTGCTCTATATATCTGGTTTAGATTGTGTGTGTGTGGGATACTGATGTCAACATTTGACATTTTCACTTTTTTATTATGTTTTTTGTGGGGGTATTTGTTTGTTTATGACAGGAGTCCACAATCTTTGATGGCTGGATTAATGTGGATTGGTGTGAAAGATGGCAGATATCACCTGAGGCATGTTTGCAGACATGAGGATGACTTAAGTACTTATGGTTGGAAAAAACATAATGGGCGTGATTATGGGCATCAAGTATTGGTTGACCATGGTATGATCTTGACTACTGAGTTTTTAAAATCAAAGAGCGATGACAGTGGTTATGGAGGGGACTGGGCAGTTCGAATTGATCTGCAAATTGATAAGTAAGTGATGCTATTAACTTCAAATCACTTTAGTATATGTACTAAGGCAGAACAATTCTGTTTGTAATTTTTTCTTAGTGGGAAGTAGGTGGTGACTGGTTTAATTTTTGCTATATTGAGTGATTATTATCAATTGAGTGGTTTTATTCTCATGTGGTTCAACCCCAGGTCTAAGTGGAATGAGGAATTTGGGAAAGGTGGCCAGCTCTTTTTCTATTTGGCTGATGAAGGTGGTAATGTTCTAGATGTAAGTCAAGAAAATTTCAACATTCGCGAGAATTCTTTACTTGCATCTGGATCTCAAACAGACATTGGAGATTGGCAGCTACATTTGAAGTCAACGGTAATGCTAGGAAATTGTATTATGATTTAATAGTCAAGATTATATTGTTTGTCCTACCATTGGACATATTTTTGGAGTTTATGGTTAGTTAATTACAAACAATTTCTTCTTCCTACTATATATTCCATGAAAAAGATAAGGGGTATCTCAACACTCCCTCCCAAACTGGTTTATATATATCATGTGCCTCAAGGTTTGCACACATATAAGATATTCTTAGCTCTTTGAGTGACTTGGTGAAAATATCAACCAGCTCATAGATAGAATTCACCAAAGCTGTAAGGATATCCTCAAAAGTAAATAAATTGACAATCAATCTATTAATATTTAGTACGCTCTGGATGCAAAGTCTCAGGCTGACATACGATACAAATGAGGCTCATGGCTCTAATTTGCAAAGCTATAACTCACAAAGTAGTTGTTACAACTTTCTACCAAATAAGTTCACATACAGGAAGAGTCATATCTTGTTAATCGATCTATCCAAAGGATATAGCAATAAGATTCCCTCTGCTAAGAATACCACATTAGCTAGAGGTTGATCATCAATAACTGTGGCATCTACCCTAATATGTATTAGAGTGTAGTTTGTATCTAGGCCTGCTTGTAGTCTAACTGGCATCTGCCAGTCATCAAAGCTGGTAACCTATTGTAACCAGTAACCTTGTTACTCTATAAGTAACAAGGTGCAACCACTTTCTAACTAGCTTGAAATCATAACAGAATTCTGTTATAGAAATGAAATCAACAATTCTCTCTAGCATAGTTTCTAACAATATGCATATGTATTTGCAACAACATTAGTGTGACCTATGTTCTTAGGAATTAGTTTTTTTAGAGGACATCCTTTTAGCTATCAAGACTCAAACCACTACATCTCAGTGACTACTGCGAGGAGGATTGACTTAACATTTACGACAAATGATATGTAAAGTTTAGTCATATTAAGGTAATTAACTTTTTAACCAATCGTTGCTATCTACTAGGGTCAGAAAAGGGACCCCCTTAATTTGCGTTCAAATATAGAGGTGTGTCAACTGACTTAATGTCAACATCCTAGTTTCTTCCCAAATGTCAATGACATATTTCCTCTAACAGATGACAACATTTGTCTTTGGTTTAGCTGCTCCAGTTCAAAGGAGATATCTCAGTCAACATGCTGAAAATGTTGCTTAAGTTGAGAGATTGCATAACATCATAGTTCTCTCCTGTAAATTGTAATTTCAATGCCACCCAATATGGGATAAATATAACTGGTTAATGGAGGAATGTTGACAAAAAACCAAATTGATGGCTATATTTCAAGTTTCTAAAGAAATGCACTAAATCTTCCAAACCACGCTCTCATACTTTGCTTAAGGTTGTCTTTGTAGCCTACAAATAAAATCACATGATTTCCCTTAACAACAAACCTGAGAAGTTGCTCCATATTCCCTTGATTCTAGGTATGGGTAACTATAGCCTTTATCTTTCTATAATCTTCCCTAATTAATAATTAAATCAGAGAAAATGCATGAGGAAAGAGGAAATATTTATATACAGGAAATAAGGGATATCTCAACACATATAATGTGCTTTTATTTAGTATGTTAACTATCTAAAATGCAAATTGTCAGACCTTGTTTTTTTGCTTTGACATAGTAATTGCCCATTCTTGATTATATGTACTATTATGCCTAATCCCATTACTCACTTTATTATGTTTTTCTTTTCCAGGATGATCTGAAACTTCATTACTCTGGATTTCGCACACCTCACTATCACAATTTGTCTGATCTTGTTGAGGAAAATCTTGCATCACAGGTATGTCAGGATATTTCAATTCCACTTATCTAATTACATAATTTTCATGTCATAAAAGCTATGTTTTTACATTTGAGGGTTTTGCTGATATCACTGTTTTTGTGCATGTCTTGGTAGATAAGAAAGCATGCTCAACTGCAGCTATCTGACTCATCAGATGATTCTTCTAATGTGTTAGTTTTTCAGGTAACATAACATTTGCACTTTCTGAGACCCATTTAACAAAACTTGTGCACTGCACACATTTGTGAGTGTATAGAAGCACAATCCAACTGTCTCTTGAAAGCATCTTTCCTAATTGATTTTGCTGTCGTAACTCACATGCTTCTACATTTCTGAAGTTATATATGTTTTTAGTCCTCATAAAATCAGTGGATTTTGTTTTCGGTCCGGAAAAAAAGATTTGTTTGGTTTTCATCCCTAAAATATGAAATCACTATTTTTGGTCCTTACCTTTATATGACATCCATAAACTGTTTGTGTCTATGGAAGATCAAGTAACCATCCAATAAAGCTTGTGTTGCCATGTTGGCATATGATTCATTTAATTTTTTTAGAGTCCTATAATGAATTCTGTTTATTTGCTCTAAAACGAGCTGTAGGAATCAATAACTTATAACAGTGTTTTCAGGTTTGATTAGTGGAATAAAACCAAAACGGAATAAGATATAGGGATCAAAAACGTAAATTTGCTTATTTTACAAGGACCAACAACAATAATTTCAAAGAGGGTTGAAAACCAAAGTAAAAACTCTGAGCCAAAGTTCACTCATTTTATAGGGACAAAAGACACGTTTAACCTTTTTTTAATTTTTTTAATTCATGCTCCAGATTGTTGGTGGCTTTCCTTTCACTACAGATTTTGTACTTATCTCTGGAACTGATTCTGTAAGTTCAAGAGTAGAAGAGCGCGTCAACAGTCTTACAGGTTTTCTTACCACATTTTCTAGAGTATTTTAAAAGTATGGTGTGTATATTTACGCGCTTTCATGATAATGGGGAACTAATTTAATTATTTACCCTGTTGATGGAAAACATTGGGATTTATACAATTGTGCTGTATATGTGTTCATTAATGTAATGGCTTAAAATTGGAAGCTATGCCTACTTTGCATTCACATTCTTTTCCAGTTTTTGATTCTTGTGATGTTATGTTTGATGTGTAAATATTATTTGTTTAAAAGAGAAGTTGACTACTCTACTAATATTTGGTTAAAATCAATGTTCTATGTCATTGTGTAATTGTTTGTCCTTGTGTTAAATGTTAGGAACCTCACTGTCTAATGAGCTGAAATATAAAGAACAAGCATTTGATGAAAAGATTGAGAAAATTTTCAATTTGGCTGAGAAGGTACCATGTTTGTTGTACTTTGAACGGCTTATTTTAATCTGCTATTTCACTCTATAAATCAATGATGTATAATGGTTGTTTTTTCTTTTAAAGTATTATGAATCTCTCAAGTTTCATACGATTGATTGAGTAAATTTTTTCATAAGTTTATGCTTGGTGAAGTAAATTCTTCATCATATAAGTGGATTTTCAGGTAGACTCAGAATCTATTTCCGTTGGTAAGGCTGCCGTTGGAAGCTTATTAGGTGGCATCGGCTACTTCTATGGCCAGTCAAAAATCGCTCTGTCAAGAACCCTTAATGTAAGTTACTTTACTTTCTTATAATATTGAACATGATACCACCCTTTAAATATAGAGCGACATATGATTATCATAAATTTTATCGTTATCTTTCGTGTGTTTTATTTTGTCTTGCTAAAGTGTAAAACTAAGACAAGCTAACTAAGAGAAAAAAAGTACAAGACAGAAGTTAGCGAATCAATAAAGTACTGAATTCTTGCTAACTAAAAAGTTTCTTTAGGTGCTTCAGGAAATGAACCAACACTAGACAAGCTAATTAACTATAAAATCACGCTGAAGCTTAGCAAAGAAGTCACTTTGAAATTGCTATTGCCTAAGATTTAAAGATTACACAACAATGTGTTAGTTTTATATGGGATGCCTCAAGTCTGTCATCCAAAGTTTATAATAACATTATATTAATCCTTCAATCATCTTTGTCACCAAATTGTCCTCTCATGGATCTAAAACTTAACCGAATTTGCTTTGTGATGGACTAATATGGTGGATGCAAGAGAATGATTTTGTTGTATTTGTAGGGATTTATTTAATGAAAAAAATCTTTGATGGATTATATTGTAACAAATAAATCTTTGGGAGACTAATTCAAGGATCACTCTAATTTTATTATTACTTCTGTCCAAATGAAAGGTGTAAACTTAGAGAGGGCCTTTGACTTCCAAAGAGAATAATAGTAGCGAGAAGAAATTTCTCCCTGTTTGGACTGGATTCTAAGTGAGGAATTGGAAATATTGTTGACCGTACTACATTCCAAAGGATCCTGAAGATCATATCCTTGAATCTGTTAGGATAGAAGGGTAAAATAAAGGATTTGCAAAGAAGTTAGGTTTAGTGATGCAGTTAATTAGTTAATCTGATCATAAGAAGCTCAATTTGATGACTAGGGGGAAACTAGTCCTACCACAGCCTTTTGCTACTAAAGGCTTCTTAAACACAACTGTTATATCATGCATAGAAGCCCGTTTAGTGAAACCGTTATGATGGGTGGCCTTTCTATGGTTCACTTAGAAGTCTAATTTGACCATATTTTGTGAAAAATTTATCTATCATTTAGTTAATCTCTTTGCTGGAAAAACAAATTTTCCTCTTTCAGAAAGATTATTATAGATTGGAAAAGGGATAGGACATGAGTTTACTTTATCGATGTTAATTAGTGCGGCTGTATATCTTATTACTCATAAATTTTTCATCCTGACAATGTGTCTTTGTTATTCTTTGATTAATTGCTGCCAGTGCTTTAGTTTTCCTTTTTAGCCAGAAAATTGATTTCCTTTGTACTTTTGATTAGCTTTCAGCAATTTAGAATTCGGATTTCAGGAAAATATGCAGTGACTTGTTTTCCTTTGCAGTTTAGGAAACATGTTGATTATGTATCATATTGGCCTGCTGAGCTTTACACAGCGGTACCAAGTCGGTCTTTCTTTCCAAGAGGATTTTTATGGGATGAAGGTTTTCATCAACTTCTAATCTGGTCAGTTTTTTGGCTAACAATGGCTTTCATGGCCACCGTTGTTAACATTATTATTATTAACATTTTTATGGTGTGTTGTATTGACTGCACAAGAATGAGTTGTATTATTTGGCAAACAAATCATCTATGGTATTTAAGTGTGCTTTATTTGCACTTATGAACATTAATCAGGCGTTGGGATATTCATATTTCATTGGATATCATTGGACACTGGTTAGATTTGATGAACATTGATGGATGGATACCACGAGAACAAATTCTGGGGAATGAAGCAATAAGGTGTAGTATCAACTTGTTAAAATGATTACAGTGAATTTGATATTTTTATCTGTCCTACTCCTAGTGACACAGATTCTTCTGTACTTGCAGTAGGGTCCCAGAGGAATTTGTTCCTCAGCATCCAACAAATGGAAACCCTCCAACTATGTTTTTAGCATTAAATGGTATATGTTAATGTTCCTTCCATATTTACCCGTTTTATATTATCCTGTATTATCATAGTTATGTTTTACAAGAATCATTATTTCCGAAAGAAGGCAATCAGTGTTCCACTTTGTAAGTTAAGCGGGTCATAGGCTAGGCTCGATAATTATATTTGCTTTTCATTGGGAAGTGATGATTAGTAATTGTTCGGGTACACCAAAATAGTCCCACATTGCTTGGGAATCGAGGCTAAGGGCAGTTTATATATAACACCCACACTCCTCAACCCAACGAGGCGACTTTTCTAAAGGACAAAGCTGTGACAGGTTTTCACATCCAAAGCAGACAATACCTCATAGATGCAGTGGTCAGGAGACTGAAGGTTGATCGGAACATTGCTCGCAGTTCAGACCCTTTAGCCCCTTAGCCTAGACTGGGGCAACTGTTCCGGTACGCCAACATAGTCTCGCATTGCTTGAAAATTGAGGATAAGGGTTGTTTATATAAACAACCACACTCCTCAACCCAACAAAGTGTCTTTTCTAAATGACAAAGCTGTGACAAGCTTCTCGCACCCAAAGCGGACAATACCTCGTAGCCACTGTGGTCAGCGGACTCGCGGTCTATTGGAACAGTAACCATGCATAATTGGCTCTATTTTGTGATTCTTAAGATATTTATGGGTTATAAATTATAGACAGTTTGACAATTTATATGAAGCATATAGATAAATATCACCTTAGATCATAAGCATGATTAACATTAATTTGTTGTGTTGCATTTTTTGAGAAATTTCATGTGTACTAACTCAAAATCTATCCTTAAGAATGTAGATATGGTCATATGATACTCTTCTCATTATTTGCTTAATATGATTATATGTGGTATGAAGATTTCATAAAGTTTATAAAATTTATCCCTCCGCTTAGCAGTTACATGCTATAAAAAGATGATTTTATTTCTGTTTATTCTTTACTCTCTTTCTTCTCTCCAATCCTTTATTATCATGTACTAACTCCTAATGAAAGTAGTTGAAAATTTGTTTTTGTAGACATAATTACTGGCTTGAAGAATAACGAGTTCACTGGGAAGGATAGAGATGAGATCTCTATGTTCCTAGAGCGCGCCTATGTTCGATTGGAAGCATGGTTTCAATGGTTCAACACGACACAATCAGGTATGTGCTATAATTCACGTGTGGTCTTCTTGAGTGCTGGAAATATATTATTTTCCTACCAATCTTTATTTTTATTATCATCTATTAATCCAGGCAAACAAATGAGCAGCTACTATTGGCATGGACGAGACAACATAACAATGCGTGAATTAAATCCCAAGGTTCTGATACACATTCTTTCTTTCTGTACTTGTGTACAATTTTAATCTGAACTATATTACACCCAAGGATCACACAAAACAACCATCAGTGTTTATATCAATCTGTCATGACAACTTTCTTTATCCTGACCAAAGACACACTCCTAAACAACAATAATTTTGCCATTTTCAGTCGCTGTCCTCTGGATTGGATGATTATCCACGTGCTTCACACCCAAGTACAGATGAACGCCACTTGGACCTTAGATGCTGGATGTTACTTGCAGCAGATTGTATGCATTCCATTGAGAAGTTGTTGGATAAAGAAACCAAGTCTGGCAAGGTAAAATTTGCATAATAAATGTAGGCATCATAAAGTCAATCACCAATTTTAATGGACTCATTGAATGAAATGATGCAGAATTATGGCTCTACTGCTAACTTACTATCAGATCACGAGTTACTGAACCAGGTATATTTACCTTCTTTCCCACTATCATTTCTTCAGAGCTGGTACTCACCTTGTTATTTCACGTTGTATCTTCGCTTGCTGATGATGCAGTAAAGGAGGAAGAGAAAAAGAGAGTGGAGATAAATCAAAGACGAAAAAAGATAAAAGAAAACTTATCACATAGTTAGGGAGTAATTGGATCTAGATACAACAAACTACTACAATTTATTGGAAAAAGTTTTTTTTTTCTTTTCTTTATTTAGAAAAAAACTACCTAATCTGAAGTTTTCCTTCAAAATAGAAGTTGATTTTTCCAGTATGGATGCATGGTTTTGCCTGACTTTTTCTTACAATTTAGATAATGAAAATTAATAAAGAGTGTCGACTAAGCTGAGCTTTAGTTTCTTCATCTAGAATCTAGACCGTCTGTTGAGGAATTGTTGAGGAATGTGAACTTCTTAAATGCCTCTTGCATATAAATGCATGAATAAGTTGATTATGAATACACCTCACATATGTAGATAGTTGATGCACTTTGATATGGCGGAAATAATCATATTTCCTTTCCTTTTGAATTGTATTTAAGAAAAGAAAATTTAAAGCAAACTATACAGTTGCTTCTCATTAAATGTTTGCTTGGTGACACTAAAGTCAATTGGTTGCTACTATTATTATGCCCAGACCTAATTTGTGCTTCATGTCCATACAGATGCATTTTGATAATGCATATGGTGCTTACTTTGATTTTGGAAATCATACAGAAAAGGTATACTGCCCAGTAATTTATGTTTAGTATCAGGCGCATTACTTTGCAAGATAACAGTGAATGGGTTCTTCTATCAAGTCTGAGAATGAGATTTTCTCATACGCTTAACCATACTAGGTTCAACTTAAATGGAAAGAAATGGAGACAGGACAGAATTATGCTCCTCGTCAACTTGTCCGGGATGTTTTGGAGAGACCTGTTTTAAGATTTGTTCCTCACATTGGTTATGTTAGTCTATTCCCATTTATGGGGAGAATCATTCCATCCGTAAGTAATGCATGTTAATTCTGATATCACAATTTTTTATGTTAAGAACTAAGAAGTTAGTCCTTGTTTGAATGATTTCCCAATTATATGTTTTTTTTAAATATACTGTCTCATTCAGGGATCATGGATTTTGGAAAAGCAGCTTGAACTCATTTCAAACAACAGCCTTTTATGGACTGACTATGGACTACGCTCTCTTGCCAAAACAAGGTCTACAACCTCGGATTTAATTTAATTTGAGTAACCTTATTCAGCATATGTTGATTCTAGTGAACCGAAAATGAGACTTTTTGTATTCCGCAGTTCCATGTACATGAAACGCAACACAGAGCACGATCCTCCATATTGGAGAGGTCCCATTTGGATAAATATGAATTACAGAATTCTTTCAGCGCTCCACCATTATTCCAAAGGTATAACTGCAGATATTCCAGTATTCCACTTTATTCCGTGCTTCCTGAAACTAATCTGTAGGTTGAATTTTGCAGATAATGGACCCTATCAGGACAAAGCCAAAGCTATCTACACAGAATTGAGAAGCAATTTAATTAGGTATTGTTTGGTTTAATTTGGCAGTGTTGGAGTCTTGTTTAAAGCTATCGGTTGGTTTTTAAAACAACGTATTTCTCTCGTATTGCAGAAATATAGTCCGCAATTATCAACAGACTGGATTTTTTTGGGAGCAGTACGATCAGATTAAAGGCAAGGGAAAAGGAGCACATCCATTCACAGGTTGGACTTCTCTAGTAGTATTAATTATGGCAGAATCATATGGCACAATTTAGGATAAACTTTGAGGAGACTGATGTACGAGGAAGCAGATTGTTAAATTTTGTAATGTTGCAGTTGAATTATTAGATTACATTTATAAATTCGAGCTATCATTAAATGTGAAGATTCAAATAGGATTCTAATAGGAAGAGAGGAATAGATTATGTGTGTGTTGTCAAAGATTCAAATTGCAGTAAAATGGGAAATATTTTGTGCCAACCTATCAGTTTCAATTACAAATTACGTTAGTTTTTTGGTTCTGAGAATAAAAAAGAATAACAGACCGTATCATTTAAGAATACAAAGGGTATAAAGTCGTAGGAATTATTGGTAGATAGGGGAATTTGAATCGTTTAGGAAGCATTAACTCAATATTGTGATCCATATCAAATACTCAACTGACGAGTTAGTTGAATTAAATAAGTATAATTTGCAGGTCCTAAATTCAATCCTTGGCTAAAAGAAATGAAATGGTTGATATTTATAAATTAATATTTTTTATTGATTGAGGATCAACTTAAATTTTTAATTTATTTCATATCATAATTTTTAAATTAAATATAATTTAGTGATTAAATTAGCATTTTTATTTATAATTATTCAATTAAATTTCATTTAAAGGCTATGATTGTACCGTAAATTATAAAAATTTACTCTTGGATTGTACCGTAAATTATAAAAACTTACTCTTGGAGTAAGTGGATCTTCGAATTTCACAAATCTCAATGAAGAATATGCCATAAATAGGAAGAAAAAGAATGGTTATTTTATCATATTACTATTAGCTAGAATAAATTACATTTTCGATCTCCTATTTTATCATATTTTATCATTTAAATATAATTGTGTAATCTTAATCTATTAGTCATATTTTCCATGTCATTTAAGTATATTTATTAAATCAAATTTATAAAAAACAATGTTATTTTTTTAAAAAAATTTAAATAATTATATCTCATTGAAATTACAAGTAAAAAATATTGGCATAATATTATCGTATATCTTGATTGTAATCTCTAATAATTGCAATATTTCACTAAAACATTACATTTTTTTTTTATTGTCATCTCTAATAATTACATTATCTCTTAATGTTACAATAAAAGATACACCAATGACACCAAATCCATCAACAGAAACATAAGAAATTTTCAACAAAGCATCAACTTGAGATGGTAGCTGTACTTGTTAAAAGTATAATACGTGACAAACTCTAGTGATTAAGTGTTGTCAAAGGTTCTAAGGTTTATTGAGAAGTTATAGCTAAATCTCGTTGGGAGATGAGAAGTTCTATGTGTTACTTTTTTTAATGAATTAGACTCTCTTTTCGACCTTAGGATTAAGGTATTTATAGAAGCTCTTAGGTCTGGACCTCAAATTTCTACATAGTAATAACCACTTTTAAAAGTGGAGAAGTGGGCGGTCAATTCCCATATTGCTCAAGCGGACGTGATATTCCCTTTGACTCAATCTACCGTACCGTTGTGGATCGGGAGACATTGCTTCACATTGTCACGAACGCACGTGTAAATTAGGAAACAAGCAACACAAAAAAGAAATAGGCGCTCACTCTAATAACTGAAAGGCTATGAGGCGGGTGTGGGCGACATATTATGTAGCCTTTCTTTAGTGAACCTTATGCACTGTCTTCTACGGGTCGTTTTCAAATATATCAATACACACTCCCTCAAGCACGAGAGCTTGGAAAAGGTGAAGTGATTTAGTTTGCCTTCCCTTTCTTACCCAATAAAGTCCCTCAAGCATGAGTCGAGTCCCTCGGGCATGAGGCGAGTCCCTCAAGCATAACTTGGGATATGCCCCTAGGTGTTAAAGAGGTGAATCCTCAAACGTCAACTGAGGGAAATTCCCAAACGTAAATTGAGGTGAAAAACACGTAGGACATTAAATAAGATCAATGATCATTTAGGCTTGGGACACAAAATTGAATTTAATCTCCCACACATGTCAGAAACGTGTAGAACATTTCATGGTCTGATGGAAAACCTAGGAAACCCTTGATCATCCATACTTTCTAAATCTCTATTAAATCGGTTCAACCCTAGTTCTTATATTTTTTCACACATTTTTGTCTCATAAGTCTTTGAGAGTTACCTCTATCTTTCAGAAGTCCTTCAACCTTCTCAAGTTTAAATACCCATTAGGACGCATATCTAAAACATTGGCTCACCTCATAAAAATATGAGAGCGGGGCAAAGTTGGCATCCTGACACTGCACCTTTTTAGGCCTAAAAATTGCAAAAAAAATCAAGTTAATGCTCACATCTGCAAAAAAGAAAAACGAGACGAACATATTAAAGGCTGCATGCCTAAAACTTTGGCCCGTCCCATGAAAATTGCAGGCAAAACGGGCATGCCCGACCAGTGATGCCTGTCTTGCCACCCTTATGGGTGACCCTTATTGCCTTTCCTAAGAGAGCTTTGTTCATACCATAATCCAATAACTACAAGAATTCGAAGGATAAGTTATAGAAGGTGAGTGGGCGATATGACTCATCTATAGTTACTACTAGGGTTGATGGCGCCCCTCACTTTTGTTTAGTATGGAGAAACAACAATCCACTTGCGATCGTTGAAGATTGTTGGATAGTCGTTAGACAATATAAATGTAAGGGATAAAATATGTTATGCTTTGCCCGGACCAAGCTTAGCATGGTCAAAAACTTCAAGACCTAGTCATGACATGTGGTCTATCTTAAGTTTAATTTTAGATTGAGTATGCTCTTTTTGAAAGTGTAGTTTGACTTATTAGCCTACTAAAAAATTTATTTCATAAAAACATACTTAAATAAGGACTCTGACCTATGTTTAAATGCACTCATGAGCTAATAAACCAATGAATTTATACTCTATCTTAATATTAAAATGAAAATTTAAAAATTCAATTTATATATAATATAATATTTCAATTCTATTTTATAAAAGTAAATTTAAATATTCAAAAATCTAATATAGATTAATAAACACAAATTATTTAAAAGGTTAACAAATTTACAAATTAATCTAAAATAAAAAATCTAATAAATAATAGTAATATAATAAGAATATTATTTATCTTTACTTAAGTAGCCCAGTATGTCATAAGTTTAAAATGCTTTTTTTAATAGAATTTCTTGTGCTACTGTTCGAGCTTCTTATGTATCATGCGTGCTGACAAAAATTTTCCCTTGCTTTTAGAGATGTATCTTCAGACGTATTTTTTTCACCTTTTATTAATTAATTATGTAGATGCATCTACGGAATATTTTCGTATGAGTATATACATTGCAACGATAAAATCAACATTTATAAAATAAAATCGGTGTTACATTGATGATTTCGACAGAAATTTAAATACTACATTTCAATAGGCCGGTGGACGCTTGCACACCTCTAAGATGTCATCGACCGTTCTTCGGACCGTCGCCTCCAACTCGAGCGGAATTTTCTCTTCGAAATCGAAATATGTTCCCCACATCGTCTTGATTCTTGAGCTCAAACTTGCTGTAAACAATGTTCCCTTCGTTGTCAACTGAAGGTGCACGATACTCAAGCTTCACAACCTTTAGTTTGTCATTGTAAGGTAGGCAATATTGGATCTCGTCTATGATATCAACGAGAGGGGTGAGGTCCATGAGCTTGAACGTCCTCCTGGGTGTTTTGCCGTCAGAAAAGGAGACACTTGCGACATACTAAAGAAGCTTGATTTGAAACAATTGAGACATTTTTGTATTTATGGAATGGTAATAAATGAAACCCCAAATTTATAGAAAATCTAGGTGAATACGGACCAACCATATTCTGCCAATCTTTTTCCAGAGCTATATCCACAGAACGAACTCTTAATTATTGTTTTTGGAGGTGTATCTCTAGAACTTTTCCTGAAACTACACAATTAAGAATCTTTCGTAGATGCAGATCCGAAACTTTCCCTGCTACATTTTAAAACCAGAACTCAATATAGAAGCACATCCTAATAGACAAATAAAAGGTGTAAGTGCATAAATAAGGCATAAGAATAAAAAGTGACTATTTTGCACTTCAAAAAAAATTTACAATTAGTTGTCCGATTATACAAGAATTCAAAATGAATCAAAACAAGTTTCGTCGGCTAAATCTATTGGTGGTACCCCTTTGGAATTTTCCACATTCGATTCCTTTTCAATGTTGTTCTATCTTTCAAATTCGTGCATTCTTTCAACAAAACGATTCGGCCATGTCTCGACATTGCGGTTGAGTGAGTCGTCCATTCCGGTGATGTAAGTGGTATGGGGCATCCCGGTTTCAAGTAAACTTGTACAAAATGTCTTAATTTTGCAAGCCATCCAATACACATGATGCGATCATTTGGATTTTGAGGTGGTGCAGTGCGGAGTGGAAAAAAGGTTTATGAAAACCCGTATCGCGTCAAGTCAATGCACACCCTATCATAAGCACATGCAATAAGATGACCCATATTAGGGAAGATCATCAATTTCGACACCAGTGCCAGACCACTTAAGCAAGGAACAAGAGATTCATAAACCACATCAATTTTTCTTTCTTTCCATACAACCGCGTGTACGATTCTTTATGCGTCTTCAACTCTTGGATTAATTGATGACGGAAAAGCACATGACTATCCTCTCCTTTACCAAGAAAAGTCGAAACGGGTCCCATTCAACATTGACGACACGGTCGATGTATTTGTGCATAAAAACCGACATTTCGTCGATGAATGGAATTTTCAGTGGAATCGGGGTCGGAGGCAATTTGCTTATGCGGGCTTCTTTATGACACTTTTTTGACATTTAGGAGTTGGTGAGTCGGGATAAAGTTTGTCAACATGCTCACAATAAGAAGGAGACCATGTAGTCGAGTTGTTATTCGGTGTAAGCTTCATTTTCTTCTGAGCACCTTTTGTCTTTACCGGTTGAGAAGGCGGTTTCATGTCGGTTGTTTTGGGATATGCAACCTTCCTCAATTGTTCTTTGATATGGAGTTTCATGTTGTCACCGGCCTTTGAGAATCTCTCTTG